GAAAGCAATTTACTGCAAATCAGTAGGTCTAAGCTGTTCTCCAGTGTGGTTAGATGTTGATAGATGTTTGGCTGTGTGTGTGTGTTCCCTCTGTGTGCCGCCCCAGCCCTGAGCAGACAGCTGGCATGGCAGACCTCGAGGGAATCACCCAATAACCACAAGATCCATTAAGGTATGAAGGCATCCAGTCAGGTTTATTGTCAACAAAGGCTGGTACTAGTATCCCGCAGACTCTATCGGACCACTAATACATGTATGCCCATAACAATGGACCAGCTCAGTGAGCGGCAGGACTTTCCATTCCTCCTTAAGGCCAGACAAAGATACTCCCTCTGATATACATCTTTATACCCCGATACAAATAAGTTAGTATTTCCCCTTTGACATAGTTAGTTAGTTACCACCCGCGACGTGACTAGTTATTACCCATTACCTTGTACTTGTTGGTTTGATCAAAACATCCTTCTTATCTGCTGTCATCCTGACCTCATCTTTTAGGAGGGTCAGTGTGTTCCTGTTATCCTTGGGGAATGTTTTTGTACCATCCTTGATATCGGGATGTTCTGGTATCACTTGATATTGGGATGTGTTTGCGTGAGCACTTCTTAGGAATGTGTATTTCTGCAATATCAGCCCTGTTCTTGCCAAATTCTGTGAGCAGGTCCTGCCTCATACCAGGCCTCTAATATAAGGTCTTATGTCTCAGGCTCTCTTCCTACTACATCCAGGACTTAGGCCAAAGCAAACGAGCGCGTGAGCCACTAAGTCAGGCTGGCCCTGCTGACCCATGTTCCAGGTCTGTGCACAGGGCTGGGGCTGGGGTTTAAATGGGGACTTGTTCCTTTTCCAGGTCCCCTACCCTCCTCCTTAGGGAGTGTGCCTTGATCAGGTTTGGAATCCAGGCTGGCCACATACTGTGAGCTCCTGTTGTCGCAATGCTTCACCCTTTGCCCTGGCTCTAGTCTCACGGGCTCTGAGGCAGGGTGGAATGTGCCGGCTGGATCTCGGGGCGCTCTTTAGGGTATTGACTCTGTCCTGGGCATTGCTGTGTTGATCCACCGTGGCAGAATGACATTTTGGCACTTGGTCTTGCTGCCTCATTGCTGTGGAATTTTGATGCCACCTCCTCCCCACTATGTGGTGATGACATCATGACACCTCCCATGTGGCATCGCGCTGGGTTTCGAGGACGTTTCATCTTGTGCTATCACAGCAATAGTTTGACGCTGCCACATGAAAACGTTTTGGGGATCACATCTGTGGTCACCCTGGGACTGAAACAGGGGTGCCCCAGCTCTGCCCCATGGAGCCAGTAAGTACAATGCTGGCTGGGCCTGGCCTTACCGCTCCCCATGTGTCTGAAGCCGGAACACGGCAGCAGCTGCAGGAGCAGTGAAAGCTTGCATTGATTCAATGGATATTCTGTGCCTGTGTTTGTCAGGAACGAGTCTGGGAGCCAGGCTCAGAGGCAGGAAAGCAGGAAATAGGGGAACGAAAGAATGAGCCACAACAGGGCACCTGTGATGCTGGGTCACTGGTGCCCCCTGGAGGAGAGAGTGCAGCGGTATTGCCACACCAAGGGCTGCGGGACGAGGCGTCAGCAGGGCGTTGAGGGAAGGATTGGCTACCGTTGCAGCCATTAACGGAGCAGCGCTGCCAGCGTTTGCCCTATTCTTGTGTTGTGATTTGAGTCCATTTTTTCCAGGCTCCTTATGATGAGGTGAGACGCTGCAGCTGGCTCAGTTACTCTGGCTCAGCTGTTGGCCCCTGGACCGAGGTGAAATCCCTCTCCCTGCAGAAGCAAGCAGCCATGGTCTCCTGCCCCATCAGGGTGATAAGGGGGTGGGGTATATAATCCAGGCAGTCCCCAGGGAAGTGGAAAGGCAGGGGAAGGAAGGCGGGAGCTTGCCTGGGGAAGGGGTAGGAGAGGTGCAGGGGGCAGGTACTGGAGCTACCTGTTTGGGAGTGGATGGAGAGGATGGGACTTCGTGGGCTAGAAGGAGAGAGCGGGAAGGCCTGCTGCCAGGGTCTGGGAGGTGAGGATGGAAAGCTGCTGGGGGCTGATGTTTTGCTGGGGGGCTAGGAGGGGGACTGCTGTGTTGCAGAGGGCATGAGGGGGAGCCTGGGCTCAGCTAGGGGCAGAAGGTCAGGAGGAGACAGGCTTTGCCACCAGGGGAAATTACCTGCCTGCCCCCGCCCCAGCATATCATTTAGTAAAGCAAAGCCCCCGCTCCCTTGGGAAACATGACAAAGGAGTTGGAGTTAACTAGGTGTCCGCAAATGCCCTCGTGAGCGTGAAAATGGCATGGGCAGGGTGCCCTGCAGCATGTGCCCAGGGAGAATTCGGGGGGTGCGGGAGAGGGGCTGAGGGGAGCGGGGAAGGGGAAGCTGCTGGGTGGGCTGGAGCGGCCGGTGGATAGTGGTGGGGATGTGAATGGGGCAGGGGCTCATGAGTGGGAATGGAAAAGGTAGGGGAGGGGCGAAGGGGAGCAGCAGGGCAGGTGTCAGGGGCTGGGGGAAGCAGGGAGTGGGGAGTCCCTGGTGTGGGGGCTGGGAGAGATGGGAAGGAATGGGGGAGGCCAAGGCAGGAGCCCTAGGGAGGGGGAGGGAATGAGTCCCAGGTTGGAACATTTCAACGAACAAGAAGCTGCCCTGAGTGAACGACAGGAACCTCCTCCAATGGGAGGCTTCCCAGGGAGCAGGCGGGGAGAAGCTGTGCTGGGGGTGTCGCTGTGAGAGGGGCAGTGACACCCCCCCACACAGTGCCCAGAGCCATGGGGTGGAGGCAGGAGGCTGCAGCCAGGGAGGGGGAAACAGGGCTCTCTGAGCTGCCCAGGCAGGGAGGGAGATTAGAGCCCCCTGGGGCTGTGCCCCTGCCCCATGCTCAGGGTTGGGGCAGGGGTAGGATCTTGGGAGCAGTCGCTGCCCTGAGGAGGAAGGGCTGGGTTAGTCAGGACCCCCCACCCCTCAGTGCTGGGCAGGCCCAGGTACCCGGGGATGGTGGTTGGGGTTTGGTACCCAGGCGGGTTGCTATTCCTCAGTATTCGGCAGGCCTAGGTACCCAGAGGAGATTGGGGTTCCTCAGTGTTGGGGAGGCCCAGATACCCGGGGCGGGGAGGTGTTGGTGTCCCTCAATGCTGGGCAGGTCTAGGTACCCCAGGGGGGTGGGTTGGGGTCCCTCAGTGCTGCCAGGCCCAAGTACCTGAGGTGGTGGTAGTTTGGGGTTTGGTACCCCGGGAGGTTGGTATTTCTCAGTATTGGGCAGGCCCAGGTACCCAGGGAGGGGTTAGGGTCCCTCAGGGCTGGTCAGGCCCAGATACCCGGGCAGGGGGTTGGGGTTTGCTAGCCAGGAGCTTGGTATTCCTCAGTGTTGGGCAGGCCCAGGTACCCAGATGGAATTGGGATCCCCCAGTGCTCGGCTGGCCCAGGTACCCAGGAGAAGTGTGTGGGGTGGGGTCAGATTTAATCCCACCAGCCCCACTGCGAACATGCTTCACACACACTAGCAGCCTCACTTTAGACAGCGGAAGTGGGGGCTAATGCTTCTCCCCACCCTCCAGCAACACCTGAGGGGTGACGGTGGCTACTAGATCAGCAGGCAGGGGTCCCCACCTCCTTCCCACCTCCAAAGACACCTTTGAGGTAAGTCACACAGCAAGGATGGAGGAGGAGGCAAAGAGGACAGAGGGGTTAATTAGCTTCTCTCCAAACACTAATCCCCTTTGGCTCTCTCTCAGCTCTCCAGACAAACTCCCTTCTACAGGACGAATAGACACGGTAGCCGTGCTGGGCCGAGTTAACCCACTAACCTGCACGTCTCAGTCTCAAGGTTGGTCTCTGCCTAGCCTCACAGCCTCAGCTGGTGACACTTACTGTGTCAGAGAGAATAAATGCTTATAGCTTGGCTATGCCACAAATGAGAGATATGATCGTCCTCTGAAAGGATTTGAAGTCCAAACACCAAAGATGGAGAGTGGCACAAGGCCCTGTATGTAGAAAGGATGGGACAAAACTAAGGAAAGGAGAATTGAGGCTTACTATCACAAAACCCTTCCTGACAGTGAGATGTATCTAGCATGAAACAGCTTCTTCCAGGGAGGTTGTGGCACTCCATCATTTACACATTAATGGTTGGGTAAAAGCACTTGTGAATGTTCTGTAAAAGCAGTTCTATGTCAGGCCTCGGGCTGGGACTGAAATAGGTGACAAGCTTGTTACCATAGAAGTCAGAGGTGAAAACAAAACTAGGATGGGATATTCCCATCACCACCGCCTGATTTCTATGATAAACTTGTGACATATTTCATCCTCTGGCTGAGCGGGGCCACACTGCTGATTATGTCATTCACTATGCCCTTGCATCTTCCATTTGTCCCCCTGATGTTGTTGCATGTTCCCCGAGTTCCTCTGAAGTTGGGGGCTCTGTGGATGACTGTTTCCCCCTTCAGGGACTATGTGACAGTGAACACAAGGGACACAAAGGAATTTCTAAATCAATCACCCTTTACTCACAGGTAAAGCACTAGAGAGCTACAGATCTATGGAAACTAACAAAAACCCACAAGCAGAATTTTTTTCCAGTGTTCACACCATTCACAGAGCCCTTTGGGTTTTGATAATTCCTTTCAGGGTCCCAGGACCGTCCTTTCCTTCGCTCCCCTACCTGCCACCCACTGTACAGCCTTGCCTTCTGGGCCTGATAGCCTCTCTCAGAAATTGCTGATGGGAGAGGCTTCCTTTTCTAATGTCCCAGTGCCCCCCATCAGGTGACTCTCAGTGGCTTCAAGTCCCTTGTCAGCTGATACATTACTTGATTACAAGCTCACCTGGGAGCTCTGGTTCCCCTAGGAAGTAGGCTGCTTGCTGTCCTAGGGTGCTTCCATTTGATGGGAGAACCACCAGGTTAACCACTCTTGTTGCTCTGCATTGTTAGCCATGTGCTAACACTTCCAGGAATCCCAGTCCAAGATGCAGATAAAAAGACAACAGTGAAGATACAGTGCAGTTTACACTCAAAATGGTGTTTGGTGTTTGTAGTTTCATTTAGACATGTACAGACTTAACTAATCTGTCACACCGGGTTAACTCCCTGTGGACACAGAGGGGGATCAGCCCCACTGTGGATTTCTCACATTTGGGGAAAGCCTCCCTAGCTAGCACATAGGCAACCCACACTAATGCTAGATGGCTGTTTAATTCCAGCCAGCCACTAAACAGTGTGCAGTGATGCCCCACGTCAGGTCACCTGGGACAGAATGAACTCTGGGCTCTTGATCTGAAAGCATGAGCTAAAGGGAGCCAGGGTTGAGTTGTGGAATTGGGAGATCCTAGGGGCTATACAAGGACATATGCATGTGGGCCTTGGTTCACTGTGTTAAGTGGAACAGTCGGGTTGGGGAGGGAGAACAGGATTGTTTAAGGAGCAGCTGACACTCCATGCTAAGCTCTGACCACAGACTGAGACAATCCTGTCTTGGTTGGTTGGATTCTGTCTTCATCCTCTCTGATTGGGGGATTGGTCCTGCTTTGAGCAGGGGGTTGGACTAGATGACCTCCTGAGGGCCCTTCCAACCCTGAAAGTCTATAATTCTATGACTTCTGCACAGCTGGGGCCATGTGCGTGGGGGCAGGATACTTCTCTCTGTGCCTGCTGCTCCGGCATGATCCTTAGCCTGGGACACAATCATCAGTCCCTAGCAGTCATTACGGTGCCCCACACAGGAGTCTGGGCAGGGAATAGGCGGCAGAGACAGGTGGAACACAGCAGTGGGGATGGGTCCAAACGGCAGCAATCAGGTCCGAATTTCCCCCAGGGTGGGGGTGGGAGGGTGGTTTGGTTCATGCCCATCTCTGCTCTTAAGGGATAAAGATCCTGTTTTCCCAACCCTGAGGCTTGAATGGCAGAGAACGATACCAGCTATAAGCCCTCCCCAGCTGGGCATCACAGCTCAGAGAGGTCTGACAATCCCCAAACAGTGGGTAGGGTGTGGGGCTCTGGGTGGAGATCTATAGCTTTGTGGGCTCCGGTGGGTCCAGGCTGCTGTCAGGAGCTTGTGTGTGTCGAATCATGGTGGCCGTGGGCAGCACAATGGGCAGGGCGTTGGTGCCCCGCTCGTGCCAGCACATGTCTAGGATGGGGTAGAGCTTGCCCTGGAACTCCGCCCGGAAGGTGTAAATGGGGATGAGCTCATCGGGGCTGTCGGCATTGTAGAAGGTCAGCTCACCCTTCTCGTAGTGCAGGTAGATGCCGATGCGCTGGGGCCGGGCCGTAAGCGGCAGCGTGGTGCGGGGGTTGTTGAAGGCCTCGTAGACCTTTCCTTCCTTCAGGCCAATGAGCCACACGCCATGCTCGGGAGACTTGTTCAGCTTGCCCTTGCGGCTAGCTGTGCCCTTGATGATGCCCAGGCGCCAGTGGCTCTTGGTGCCTACGATCACCTCCCAGTAGTGCTTGCCCCAGGAGAAGCCCTTGTTGGTGAGGATGCAGTTGCTGGAGTCAAAGCACTCAGGATTGCTGCCCCGGCGCTGGTAGAGCAGCCTGCTCTGCACCACAGTGTTGCCCTTGGTCAGCTCCAGCAGAGGATGTCCTGTCACCGGGTCCAGCTTCAGTGTCTCTGGGGCTAAGGAAACACATGGCAAGCAGAGGAAGCTCAGGGCGGGAGACCCAAGCGGCTAGGCCCAGGTGAACCCTGAGCAGCTTTGGGGGTTGGACCAGGACCAGGAGAGCCCTGAGCAGAGAGGCAGGCCTGGCCAGGTGCAAGGAACCCTGGGAGAGCCCCGAGTAGCCTAATGGGCCGGATCCAGTAGAGCTTGTCCACAGGCAGCACCCCTATCTGAGCTCTTGCATAGCCAGGAGAGTGACCCATGTAAAGCTTCACCTGGCACATGCCTGAGCAGCCCTGCGTGGGTCGGACAGCGTGGTGCATGCCAGAGGGAGCATATGCCATAGGTACACGCATACTCTGAGCACACTGCAGGGGACTTACTATGTGTGGTGCAGTACCTGGCAGGACTCTGCGGAGCAGACGTTTCCATACTGTCATCTTGATGTCATCTTGGTGGAAACCTGGCTTAAAGGAGATGGCGCTGAAGGTCCCTTCAGCTGGGTGCTGGGGGAGAAACTCTGACCTGGAGGGAAAGACACTCCCAGGCAGTGGGGTTTAGTGAGAACATTTAAGGGCCCTGCTTCCCACCCCATTGCCCACATCGGGCAGAACTCAGAGTCTCCCTGGCTGCTCTAGCCTCCATCTGTGAGCTGAAGGCCGGGCAGTGGGTGCTCAGCAGCCCCCAGGGCATGGGCACTAAGCTGTGCCAGGTGGAGGGGGCATGGGCACTACGTCACTCCCCTCTAGGAAAGTAAGCCATGGGAGCAGAAAGCCTGGTGCCTCGCTGCCAGGCTGCTCCCAGCAGCACTGGAGATGCTGCTGCACCACTGGCATGGAGAAGGAGTGCAAACTGCAGCTGGCATGGGCACAGCCCTTGCTCACCACTAGAGTTGGGGCCAAGCCCTCAGTGCCTCCTGCTACTCCCATGAAAGGGCCCTCGCAGTAACCACTCCTAGGAAACATTTCCCCTTCCTGGGTTCTAGCCATCCTGGCTGCCCCATGGCTCGAAGGAGGGTCCCAAGGGTGGAGGGTAAGTGCTCACCTGGAGGGGAATGAGCCGTAGTTCTGTAAAACACAACACACACACACAAAGGCAGAGTTAGCGCTGACAGCCTCAGCCCCATGGCCGGGGAATGCTGCAGAGGATTCCTGGCCAGCACTCTCACCGACTCTCCATCTGACCCTGGCACCAGCAAATGGCGCCTCTCACTGCCACCTCCGCTTCCTGCCCATGCAGGGAAGGTCAATGGAAGCTGCACAGACTGGGGGCAGGGGGTCTCCGGCAACCAGGATGGGGCTGAGGGACACAGGGATGGGAGGAATCAATTGCCAGATGGAGAGAGGCTGGAGAGGGTGCGATAGAACCATAGTTGTCTAGGCTCCTCCGCCATAGACAGGCATGGCACGGTGCCTGTCTCTTGGCTCTCCCAAGGAGGCTGTGTGGAGGTACCTGGCTCTCCCCTCTCCTGGGGGGAGATCTGGCTTTCTGCTTCTCAGGGAGGAAGCATGGAGATATCTGTCTGTTTGCTCTCCCCGCAGGGTGCATGGGGTGCATCTGGCTGTTTCCCAGGTTGCATTGTGGGGTGTAGGACAGTCTCCTCTCCAGAGTTTCCATGGTCATTCCCCTGGCAGACAGACTCACCTGGATGAAATCCAGCTGACTTTCATTATTGAGTTTCTCCAGCGAGCTCTCCATTTCCTGCAGCTTGTGCAGGGTGTCTGATGTCTGCGTGACCTGGGACTCAATGGAGGCAATGAGGTGGCCAGCCTTCCTCTCAATGCTCTCCAGGAAGCTGGCCTTCTCCTCGTCAATGTAACGGTGCAACTCCTGGAACTCCTTCCGGATCACCCACTTGAAGACGTCTGACTCATTCTGCAGGGGGATAGTATGTTCTAGGAGCCAGAGGAAAATACCCGGGACAAGACGTGGGGTGGCCCTGCCCGCTCCCTGCTCAGCACAACTCAGTCATTCCACCCGCTTACAGCGTGTTATGCTCGATGCAGACCATAGGCCAACTGCAGACCACCTGCCTTCTACAGCAGGGCACACACCCTCCAGAATATCTTAGTGGTTAGATCTCTCACCCGCATGTGGGAGATCCAGGTGAGTGGCTATTGGCTATTCTGGGTTCAGTGGATCTCTCTTTCTTTGTGACATTTTTTAGAAGGTCCTTGCCTTGGTTTTGTCCCGAAACAGAATGAAACCAAATGCAGAAACCTCCACTTATTTTTTCACAAAATGGAGCTCTTGTTTTGTGGCCACTGCTTCTGCTTAAGACATGGAAATCGCCCGAAGCTGACTTCCCCTGGCAGGGCAAACATGCCCTGAAGCTATCAATATTGATCTTGTTGGAGAGCTAGCTCTGGCCAGGATATTTTACACTGGTTATCTCACTTTCAAGGACACTAGGTCAAACCAGCTCTGAACAACGAATTGCCCAGCCTGTCTGTACGCCTGCCAGGAAGTTCAGTGCCACAAGAGATGGCTCCCTCACCCCTTCGAAAAGCAGGGCTATTTTTAGTCCACACTTTGTGAAGAACAACAACCCCTCTCCTCTGCTAGCAACAGAAAGCAAGCGTAAAACGGTAGGGCTGGAAGGGATCTCAGGAGGTCATCTACTCCTTCCCCCTGGGCTGGGGCTGGCCCAGATAACCTTAGCCCAGCCCTGGGAAGCAAGACACTTATTCACCTGCCTCTCGCTCAGCAGGTGGAGGACAGGGGACCAAGGAGACTCTGATATGGTGTGGGTTGGTAGGGTGGGACTCTGGGAGGGATGGGAGAACCATTCCCGATGTGGGGCAGAGGGCACTCTGGGATTTTATTATTATTATTATTTTATTTTATTTATTTAACATTGATATGGCTGGAGTGCCTAATGGCCAATCAGGTCAGGGTCCACTGTGCAGGGCACTGTACAAACAGTTAGCAGTGACCGTCCCTGCCCGGAGGAGCTTACAGGCTAAAACAAGACATTGCAGGGGTTGAGAAACAAGCTAGCCAGGGTAGGAAAGACAGGGTAAGACAACTAAAAGGATGTGTGCAGTCCTTAGCCAATCGGGAGCAGTAATCAGAACTGGGGCTGCTCCCGGATTGGGACCCAGGAGATTCATGGTCATGGGCTCCTCTCACAGCTCCCTGCACTTACTGCGATCCGGGTTTTATTGTTAACCAGCTTGCTGATGTGCTCATCCAGCTTCCTCTTGTGTTGCTGGACCTCTGTTATTAGCACTGAAAGCTCCTCCTGCAAAGGCAGAACATACTCCTGTTAGACTGGAGTCTCTAGTCTAGGATATTGCACCCAAGGGAGTAGCCAGGTGGCAGTCACCTGGCAAGGGTTTGGCTCTGGGCCCCACACTCCCCCATGTGTGCAGGCCAGCCTGGCCCTGAATGGAACCAGTTCTCCTGGGGTCAGTCAGACTTCCCTTGATCACTGGCTTCCCCCCATGGAATACAGGGCATGATGAGACCACGTTCTCCTAGGCTTCATGGGAAATTCATTTATCATTCCTTTTCCATCCTGCCTGAGTTCACCTCTAGGCCTCTTTAATGTTAAGTCACCTCGATATTGTTAACCCTAGCAGCTGGGCCAAATTGAGAACTGGGCAATTCTGTTCTGTCCATCTAAGATTCTCCCTGTGGGCTCATTTGACATCTAAATTGCTCTGCACTGTTAAACAGTTGCTGAATCCCACCCTAGAGGTGGCTGCATTTGAGTGGTGAGCGAATTGGTGTTGTATAGCAAATGCAAAAACCACAGAATTCTTGCAATGTTACGTTTGCACAAAAACTCTTAAGAGTCTGGAAATGCGAAAGTTGATATTCCAAGGGCTACATTCCTTGGGCTATGTAGCATGTTCTGTATGTTATATGGGATATAAACAGAAATATGTTAAGCTACATGTTTAAAAGGACATCGTCAGCTTGAAACCTCATCAGTTTAAAAAACTGAGTTAAAAGCAGTTTCAGGTATGACACCTGCCCCCGAGTCCCCCAGCCAGTGGTTCTGGTTGAACAATCACATTTCCTTTTTTTTTTTTTTTTTGGGTGGACACCAGAGTTAACCGTGACCAACTGACATGCTGTGAAACAGGACAGTACTTATCTACACAGAGTCTGTCTAGACTAGGAAAAGATTCTAGGTTACAATACGGCCAGCTAACACGATAGTAAGATACTAATAACCTGTGTCTACGCTTGGTGGTAAGTGGTGTTTCAAGTCACGTTAGCCAACTCAATTTTAAAAGCACCCTTTTTCCTGGCAGGGAGAAACCCTGCACATTTAACATGGTTTTCGTTGGCAAGTGTCCTCTCTAGCACAGTAATGGGGAATAACTGGTGAGGTGGTGGCACGGCAGAAAAGGATGGGGGGTTACAGTGGGCCAATATGGTGCAGTTGAAAAAAAAGGCTAGAATAAGTCTGGGGTGTATTAACAGAAATGTCCTATGTAAAACATTGAAGGTAATTATTCTGCTCTACTTGGCACTGCTGAGTCATCGTCTGGAGTCCTGTGTCCAGGTTTGGGAGCCACACTTCAAGAAAGATGTGGAGACAGTCCAGAGGAAAGCTGTGGCGGTTCAATACAAGACAGGACACGGCTTTAGGCAAGCAAGCAGGCTGGTCTGCTGACGGGATTGCCCCTGTCAGCTTTTCCACCTCTTTTATTTCTCTCCCCCCTGCGCATCACATACCCCAACCGACCGCAAAAGGCATCAACAAAGGAAATAATATGACTTTGATTAATATTCCTGTTTACTAGCCTCTATCTACTACAATCTTTATTCTCAGGCCTTGAGCTTCGGCCGAGGAAGCTTCCCACGGCTGATGTCCTTATTTTGACTTCCCAGATGGTCCATGTTTTCATGGTCCATGTCCTTGGATAGAACAGAGCAATGTGTGCATTGCTCCTACACAACAGTCAGGGTGTGCCCTGACTGTTTCCAGGTGCATGAACGCTACATGAACCCTTCAGGGAGCAACAAAAATTATTTGAGATTTGGAAAACCTGACCTATGAGGAAAGGTTAAAAAGATTGGGTGTGTTCAGTCTGGAGAAAAGTAGACTGACAGGGGACCTGACAAGAGTCTTCAGATATTTTAAGGGCTGTTATAGAGGACAGTGATCAGCTATTCTCTGTGTCCACTGAAGGCAGGACAAGAAGCAATGAGCTTAATCTGCGGCAAGGGAGACTTAAGTTAGCTATTAGGAAAAACTTTCTAGCTATAAGGATAGTTAGCTCTGGAATTGGCTTCCAAAGGAGGTTGTGGAATCCCTGTCAGTGGAGGTTCTGAAGAAGAAGTCTGGCAAACAGCTGTCAGGGCTGGTCTAGGTTTACTTGGTCCTGCCTCAGAGCAGGGGGAAGGACTAGATGACCTCCTGAGGCTGCTTCCAGTCCTGCAGTTTTATGATTGTATCATAGTAGGCAGGCCCATTATCTCACTCTGATTTGCAATTGACAGCCTGGGAATTTGTTTAGTGTGAGTGTTCCAGACTATTAATAATGTTAAAAACAAGCATAGCATGAATCACCACTGTGTCCTTCCTCTAACCTGATCTATGGACATTGGTCACTGCCCTTTCTGTGTGATCTGGTGAAGAAAGATTTGGGGGTGTAGCCAGATTGAACAGTATCTCACTGATTCAAATGCCACCAGTGAGTGGGTTCTTTTGCAGTAACTCCTCCCCTGCGCTCTGCACCGATGCTGCCTCAGTGGCGTTATTATTCCTCATTTACACTGGGGTGAGCAGCCAGGATCCAGAAGAGCCTTCAAGCATGTATTCCGGTTCAGGACAGCAGTTAAGCACATTCAGGTTCCTGAACTGGAGCCTCTAACAGAGTAAGAGAGAGGAGAGTTGGCCCTAGAGGTTCTAGTTCTGTCGCAGCCCAGATATACCCCACTTCTGAACAGGGCCCCAAGGCCCAAACTGTGGGCAGGATACACTTCTCTTGCATCACACACCCTATCTGGTGTCAGGAGCAGAAGGGAGCTGGGGCTGAGTCTGTGCTTTTCCATTTACTGGCTGTCACATGGTCTGCTGGAAGGGACCCTTGCTGGTTACATCAACAGGTCAGAGCCTGTGTAGCCGAGTGCTCTGTCTCCCAACCTCCCTGCGCCGTATCTCAGTCTTATCAGCCCACTCTTTTCCAGAGGTGTTTGAGCACTGGAGATGAAAGGACCCTGGAGTAAACAGGGAACAAGACTGCCTCTCCCTCCAGCACTCCCCCGCCCAATGTCTCCTGCACTCCCTCCTTGGACAAACATTAACCCTTGCAGCCCCCGGGGAGCTGGGTCCATGTTGTTATCTGTGTTTTACAGAGCGGGAAAGCAAGCCAAGCAGATTGAAGGATTTGCTTAAGGTGACAGATAGAGCCAGTCACTGTCTGCAATGGAGCTGGAACAGAGGAGCTTGTAACTCCCAGCCCTGTGATCAGATCACTAGGCCATCAGGTGAGCACATCTGCACTGGAGTCAGGGAGACACAGCAGGCACAGACCCTGCAAGGCCCTTTCCAGGCTGGGCTCTGAGATGTTTAATTGATGCTAGAGACGGGCCCAAGCTGTGATCAGGGTCTTGCTTTCCCCAAAGTCTAGGGCATCCAGAACAGGATGGTAGGTTCTAGTCCAGTTCAGGGCTGCACAGAGATTCTGTTAATAAATTAGGGGCCGAAGCAATTGGTTTGCAGATGCTTTTCCCTGGCCTGTTGATCCTTCCAATCAGTAGTGTCAATGGTCGGAGTCTCTGCCCTGATGCTACTGCAGGGGTGGCCAACCCGTGGCTCCGGAGCTGCATGCGGCTCTTCAGAGGTTACTATGCAGCTCCTTGTACAGGCACCGACTCCGGGGCTGGAGCTCCAGGCGCCAACTTTCCAATGTGCCGGGGGGGCTCACTGCTCAACCCCTGGCTCTGCCCCAGGCCCTGCCCCCACTCCACCCCTTCCCGCCCCCTCCCCTGAGCCTGCCGTGCCCTCGCTCCTCCCGCTCCCCCTCTCCCCCAGAGCCTCCTGCACGCCAAGAAACAGCTGATCGGGGGGGGGGGGGCAGTGCTGGCTGGGAGAAAACTGGGAGTGGGGGGGGGGAGCTGACGGGGGGCTGCTGACGTGTTACTGTGGCTCTTTGGCCATGTAGATTGGTAAATTCTGGCTCCTTCTCAGACTCAGGCTGGCCACCCCTGTGCTACTGGGTCAAGGCTCACTTGAGCCTCAGAGGAGCATGGGTCCTGTGACACACTGACGATGGGCTGTGAGCCCTTACCCCAAGAGCAGGCGTGGGACTGCCGCACGCCGGCCAGCTCAACTCTGGCTCGGTCACAGCCAGTTTGAGTGAGAGCAGCAGTGATGCCTGGCAGCCCAGGTGGGCCCTGCACGGGGAGGCCTCGCCCACGTGACTGTCTGTGTTGCCACAGCTTCGCTGCGATGGTTATCCCAGGACTGGTGCTGCGATCACACCTCCCGACTGCAGTGTGCGGACCCCCGGGTTACTGTGGCCGCGGGACAAAGCCCAGCAAGCCCGATACCCCATCTTGGTACGCTCCCAGTTCCCGCACACCGGGATCCAGGGTTTGTGTCAACTACCAGCCTGTGCCAGACCCTTGTCCCGCTCTCACTCCCACACCAGGTCCGGAAATCCAATCAGGGATGGTCCACTGGCTGTGCTTTTATCACCTGAAACCCGCCCAGCTCCTCCCTTCTCACCCTCCAAGGAGCCCAGTCGCAGGCCCGTGTCTTTCCCCAGCAGCTGCCATGGGGCAGGCAGTGCCCAGGGCCAGCTGTTAGCTCCCCAGGCACTTACCTTCATCCGGCTGTATACGGTAGAGACAGGCAGGATCTTATGCTGACGGTGAGCCCCAATGATGCCGCAAAGCCCACAGATCACCTCTTGGTCCTGCTCGCAGAAGAGGCTGAGGGGGTTGTGGTGGACAGGGCAGGACTCCTGGTTGGGATCTGAATCGCCCATGGTCCGCAGCGCCTCGATGACGCAGGCCAGCGTGACGTTGGGCAGCAAGGTGCTGCAGTCCACAGCTTGGCGGCACACGGGGCACAGGAGCTGCTGGTCCAGGTTGCACATGAGGGACCCCACGCAGGACTTACAGAAGGAGTGCCCGCACTGGAGCATTAGGGGCTCCTTTAAGACCTCCAGGCAAATGGGGCAGAGCAACTGGTCCTCCAGCTCACAGACACTCATCTTCCGAGCCATGCTGCAACAGGCGCCTGTCCCGGCACGGTGGCTTGGTCCAGTCTTGGAGGAAGAGCCCCTGGGCTGGAAAACATGGAGTTAATGAGAACAGTTCCTAATGTAACAAGCAGGATGCCTCCAGTGGAAATCTGTCACCCACCGGCTGAGGAGCTTAGGAGGAGCACATCCCTTTGGGGTGTTTAACTGAATAAACCTCCAAACACATCTATCCACCTAGGATGGGAGATCCCGCCACAGGAAGCACATTCCAATGGTGCTTGTGATCCACACCGGCTGCCCGCTTGCTTCTGTGTGAGGTGTTAGGTGTTGGTTTAACCTATGAAACTGGGAATGGTTTGGGCTCTGCTGACCTCTGAGACCCTGCCCCGCTGCTGGTGTGCTCGCAGGACAGCGGTGCTCAGCTCCCGTTGGGGGCTGCCCCGTTTACACAAAATAGGGCTGTTCTTGATAAGAGGGCATAGACTGAGCTTATTTCCCCTCTGGGCTGGCCAGAGCCCATGTTTGATCACCAGCTGCAAGGCAGATCTGTTTCCCCGGCCTTCTGCACGGGATAGCGGGGGAGTGGAGTGGGGTGTTCCCTGATGGCGGGGACACGTCTTCGTCGGCACTGGGCTCATTTCTGTTTCTAAAAGTCTCTGTTGAATCCTTCTCTCAAATACTTTACATAGAATCATAGAAGGGTAGGACTGGCAGGACTGAAGTAACATGAGTTAGGAGCATGGGTGGCAAGTGAACTGGCAGTTGGTGGAGGCTAGCCCCTTCCCCTCCCCTTGTGCCCAAGGCCCTGCCCCTCCCCTTTCTCCCCCTCCCCCACTGGAGCCCAGAGCGGCAGAGCCCCATCACAGCCACTGCCCTACCACCTCAGGCCAGCGCCCCCAACCCCTACTCTGACCCATGGAGTGGGCGGCACGGCCGCATGGCCCCCGACCCCAGCCACGGAGCACCAGGCGGGCACCAGCCCTCGCCTCCCCAAGTCCCGGCAGCAGGCCATCAAGCCCAGCCCCAGCCTGGGCCACGAAAGAGCAGAAACTCACAGGCACTCCTGGGGGCGGAGCGTGGGTGGGGCCACACAAGGCTGTTTGGGGAGGCTCAGCCTCCCCCAGCCTATGATATCCGCTGCCCATGGTTAGGAGGCCTGGAATTAATGCATGTGAAATATCAAAATGAATGGAGGAATAAATCAAATAAAGAGTCAATGCTCAAAAGACAGGACTATAGAACAACCACCCACAGAAATCTGCTGAGAAAAAAAATCACTGATTCAGAGCTTCTACAGCCACAAGCGACCATTGTGATCATCTAGTCTAACCTCCTGTGGAGCACAGGCCAGAGACCTGCCCCACAATCATTCCTAGAGCACATCTGTTAGAAAAACATCCATTCTTGATTTACAAATCCATCAGGACCCTGGGTAAATTGTTCCAATCCGATACTGAAGCAAAGCTGTGAAATCCAGGTTTGAGACTCACACCCACTCCCTTCTTGAGTCAGGCCTTGGTGGAGGATTTCCCCTTAGATGTTGTGACATTTCAGGGTATTTAAGGGGTATACACATGCACCATCTTGCTGGAAAACTTCTAATAAATCTACAGGCAATTGACTTTAGTTTAACAATAATAATTGCATGTACAGAGTTCCCTGAGGAATTCCCACTGTCCCTCTGGCCCATGAATGCTCCCCTCTTCACTTCCATACATTTCTATGATTCTCCCATGACCTGCAACAGAAGCAGCTGGAGGGAAAGAAACTTAACACGTGAGTAAACGCAGAGACTCAGGTGCATGGAATTCTTACAAGCAGTGCCTTGGCCACGAAAAAGGCCAAGAGGCCTGTGACGAAGTGGGGAATTTTCTGTAATATTTTTATGAATCTTGTATGTGCTGCAGTTTCCTCCGTACTTTGCATTTCTATTCAAAGGGCGCTACCAGGTTAACTCTGCTCCTGGGTCAGTGCAGGAGACATGAGGTGTTTGTGTCACCTTCTCACCGGGATAGACTTAGTGGATCATTAAAGGACTGGCTGAGGCTGATCCCTATTAATGGAAAATCTGAGAAGACAATGGGAAACCTCCATTCACACCTAGCAACCAGTGACCAAGAGGAAGGAGGTTTCCCACCCACCTCTCAGCAGGGAAGCTGAGCAGAGGCCAGCTCCAGAACAAAGGACTGAGAGGTACCAGGCAGGGGATAAAGAGTAGCTTTTGGAGAGGCTGGGCTGGTCCTCCCATGGACACGGACAGGCACGGGGACCGAGAGCCTGAAATGAAGTCTGGAGCAGTTGGCCTGGCCAGATGGACTATGTCTTAACCTTGATTTCTCTGTGCTAACCTAAGCCCAATGCTGCTTTCCAGGTGACTAATAAACCCTACTCTGTTTTGAAAATGCTGCCTGGTGTCACTGCAAATACCTGCTGAAGTGCAGTAGTCCTTGAAGAGCACAAAAGTCTCTGACCAAGAGTATATCTCAGTAGGGCTTGCTGGACACAGCTCATGGAGTGAAACAGCAGTTCTGGATCCCAGGGGCTCGGTCTTGGAGGTGGTGAGGCTGCGAGGCCAACCCTGAAGGATGAGTGGGACCCTTTGGGCTGAAGAGGTTCCTTCAAGAGACTGTTTAAAAGCTGGGTCATGTGGATCCGTGACAATATCCTACATCTCCTCTGCCATGGCAGCCCTGCCCCTAAGCTAAACCCCAATGAACTTTTCTGGAGCAAGAATCACTCTGCCAACCCAGAACGTCTCCAGGGCTCCTGGCAGCAAGAGATTCTGGGCTGCAGGATGCAATCAGCCTGTTTTCAGAAAAGATTCCCCCACATCTGGGGTGGCCTCTCCAGACGTAGACATCGGAGCAATAACATAACATCCTCCCTCCGAGTTTGGCCCATCCCTCATCTGGAAGTCCTAGAAACACTGCAGAAAATCCATTCACCACCTATGATTGATCCTTCTCCTTGGCTAGTGAAAGAATGGAGAGCTCACGGGGCCCCTTCCAACTGAGACTGACAGCACCTCCTTTAAGCATGTCCTAGTCCAGCCAGAACTTGGGAAACACTCCATGCTGCCAGCGTTTCCTGCACCACCCACTAGCTATGCTTTCACTTCTGAGCAAGCTAAGTGAGAAGCTCATCAAGGCTCTCTGTTAATTCCACCTGGATACTTCCAATATTCTGAGCCTTCCCAATCAGGCTTCAGGTCAGGAGAAGGAACAGAAATGGCCATGAACACGAGCCATATATCGATTCTCATAGTGCAGGATCTCTTCATGTCATTCAATGTCAATCAATGAAATGCTGATGTCCTGCCTTAGGGGCATAAGCTGAGGTTTGTGGGAAAGCACTGAGGTAGCTACAATCATTCCTCTTGGACCAGAGCCAGAGAGCTGTGATGGGCACCAGCTTCTCCGCCTCCCCTGTAAAGTTCCACAGTGATCCATCCTCTCTCCCATCCTGCTTAACCACTGTAGGAGGCAGCTAGGGAAGATTATGTCAATTGGGTTTCTCTGTTGTGCTCCTGGCCACAGGAACTGGGGATTGTGAATCACATGGGCTCAAATGCCAGCACTACACACACAACACGAAGCACAGAGCTTTCCAGCTAATGTGAACAGCACCCTTTCCCAGATCTCTCAGTGCTTGGAGGACCTCAGCACTTAGACAAAAAGCAGCAGGCTCAAGCCAAACCCAGCCAAGCTGGAGGTAATGTTGGTAAGGAGATGGGAGCTTTGCAAGGGACTAGCCACTACCATGAAGTCATTCTCATTGAGGGCATGCTCACTAAGGAAGGTCATTGCCTAAAGAAACCAGGAGGACCACAACCCTCCTTCAGATCTAAGTGGGACTGTCAGACCCATTTCCATGATCTCATCTTCCCACAACAAATCATGCAGACCAAAGGGGAAATGGGGAGACATATACAGAAACCTTTCCCTGTACTGGCTTTTAAAACTTGCAACATGACTCAAACCCCAATGCAAAGAGTTCAGGACAAATGCCCAGAGAGATTGTGCTTCAGACAGTGCCCAAAGAATTAGAATATAATCACAGCCCAAAACAAAAACTAAACACATAATTACAAGATAGTAAAAGACTAAAAACACAGATAAAAAGGACCAGTCTTGGCTGATTTATTGAAGTGGGGAGAGAGGCTGGAGAAGACACTTCAGAAGAAGCAAGTTCAGTACCTGATGGCTCCACAGTGCATAGATTGGGGAGGGTTTTCAAAATTAACTCCTCTATATAAACTTTACAGCCCTCAGTGAGCCCCAGAACTACTCACCTTCCACTGCTCAGTCTTTCTTTCCTTCCCCTGCTCGCCCCTTCAAAGCTGCAGGGTGCTTGGCAAGAGATCAAACCCTGAGGGGTATTATTCAGCCTGTCTGTGACTGACAGAAACGTTCAGTCCCCTTAGGCAGACAGAATCCAGCTAACTGTGACAAATGATGGACACGCAGCTTCCACAGCAGCAAAGCAAGAGCGCCCTGTCACACCCACTTCTTTTTCCCTTTTCTTTAAATCCTACTGAGAGCTCTCCCCCTTGTCTTCTTAAACCTGGCCCACAAATGTAAGGAAAGATGGGACCCACCACAGCCCGCAGACATGGAGAGAACAAGTACTAAGAACAAGAGCCTAGCTATCTTCCTGCACCAATCCATGGTGCTTACCTCATGACAACACCCTACCACACCCCTTATTCCACTCCCCCGTGCTCACTGTAAATCAGGTGTAAACACACACATCATATGACTGAATAGCCAGCCACCGAGAGCTCCACACTTGATAAGAAAGATTCAGATGGTTATTTCAGTCAGCATGCGGCTTCCAAGGAAGTCCTTTAGGCAGTGGTTCTCAGCCAGGGGTACGCGTACCACTGGGGGTACACAGAGGTCTTCCCAGGGGTACGTCAACTCCTCTAGAGAGTTACCTAGTTTTACAACAGGCTACATACAAAGCACTAGCGAAGTCAGTAAAAACTAAAATTTCATACAGACAATGACTTGTTTATACTGCTCTATGTCAGTGTTTCCCAACCTGGGGGGTCGTGATTTATTTCATAGTCATATGGTAAAAAGGAGAAAGTACGCAATTTTTCCATACTAGTGTGGCTGTGACACTTCTCTATTTTTATGTCTGATTTTGTAAGCATGAAGTTTTTAAGTGAGATGAAACTTGGGGTACACAAGACAAATCAGCCTCCTGAAAGGGATATAGTAGTCTCGAACAGTTGAGTACCATTGCTTTTGGGGTTTTACATGGATCCAGTCCAACTGGCAGAGTTGATGGAAACATTTTTTCAATGAAAAAAACATTTTCACTTGGGTTGAAATTTTCTGGGTTTTCTACAAAAACAGAAACCATTTTTTTTTTTCAATTTTTGGTCACCTATTTAACCAAAAATTGAAACTTTTACTGAAAACAGTTTAGAGAAACATTTTCATGAGAATTTTTTTTGGGGGGGGAAACTTTTATGGTAGTTAATGAGAATATTTTGGATGGCATATTAAACCTCATGCTTCAGGGTTTAAGCCAATTTCTAACAAAAAAGGATTAGGAGACCCAATGTGTGGGTCAGATTATCCCATATCTGCTACTGTGTGGTTCTTCCAACATCCTCTGAAGCAGATAGTTCTGGCCACTGTCAGAGAGGGACTGCTTTGCTCTGATCCAGTCTTGCAATTGCTACGTTTCTGTGTGACCTTCAGCGAATCATTTGGGTCTCTCTGTAAAATGGGGTTGATAATATTTCCCATCCACAGGGCTGTTATAAGGATAGAGTTTGTTAATGTTTGTGAAGTGCTCAGATGCAACAGTGAGAGGGGCTATATAGACCAAACAGATCTAGGCTCTCCACCTGCAGTTTGGTGGTGCAGCGCTAGGTTTTCCTTTTGTACAGAATTATGTTGAGAAACATTTGGTTATTATTTATTAATCTAACAAGCGTGTATCGAGTGCCATAGATAAAACCACATAAACCCTTTCCCAGTTAGAACAGGTGCCCCAAATGAGAGGGTCTGGGCCTTTTTGGGGGGTCAGAAATGAAGCTATTCTATACCTAGATTCAGTGGGCACCAAACAGCAGCAGATTAGATCGATACATTCTTATACTCTCGCAGCTGTTTGTGGAATATAAATAAATTTACAAGAAAGAAAATGTGCCATCTGCTTCCCTCCTAAAATTATCCCATCCTACTGTTACTGTTCTCTTCCAGGTTTCAGAGTAGCAGCCGTGTTAGTCTGTATTCGCAAAAGGAGTACTTGAGTCACCTTAGAGACTAACAAATTTATTTGAGCATACAGCTCACTTCATCGGATGCATTCAGTGGAAAATACAGTGGGGAGATTTATATACACGCAGAACATGAAACAATGGGTATTACCATACAGTGATCACTTAAGGTGAGCTATTACCAGCAAGGGCGGGGGCCTTTTGTAGTGATAATCAAGGTGGGCCATTTCCAGCAGTTGACAAGAACGTGTGAGGAACAGTGGGGGGTGGGGGTGGGGAAATAAACAAGAGGAAATAGTTTTACTTTGTGTAATGACCCATCTACTCCCAGTCTCTATTCAAAACTAAGTTAATTGTATCCAGTTTGCAAATTAATTCCAATTCAGCAGTCTCTCGTTGGAGTCTGTTTTTGAATTTTTTTGTTGAAGAATTCCAACTTTTAGGTCTGTAATCGAGTGACCAAAGAGATTGAAATGTTCTCCAACTGGTTTTTGAATGTTATAATTCTTGACGTCTGATTTGTGTCCATTTATTCTTTTACGTAGAGACTGTCCAGTTTGACCAATGTACATGGCAGAGGGGCATTGCTGGCACATGATGGCATATATCACATTGGTAGATGTGCAGGTGAATGAGCCTCTGTTAGTGTGGCTGATGTGATTAGGCCCTATGATGGTGTCCCCTGAATAGATATGTGGACACAGTTGGCAACGGGCTTTGTTGCAAGGATAGGTTTCTGGGTTAGTGGTTCTCTTGTGTGGTTGCTGGTGAGTATTTGCTTCAGGTTGGGGGGCTGTCTGTAAGCAAGGACTGGCCTGTCTCCCAAGATCTGTGAGAGTGATGGGTCGTCCTTCAGGATAGGTTGTAGATCCTTGATGATGTGTTGGAGAGGTTTTAGTTGGGGACTGAAGGTGATGGCTAGTGGCATTCTATTATTTTCTTTGTTGGGCCTGTCCTGTAGTAGGTGACTTCTGGGTACTCTTCTGGTTCTGTCAACCTGTTTCTTCACTTCTGCAGGTGGGTATTGTAGTTGTAAGAATGCTTGATAGAGATCTTGTAGGTGTTTGTCTCTGTCTGAGGGGTTGGAGCAAATGCAGTTGTATCGTAGAGCTTGGCTGTAGACAATGGATCGTGTGGTGTGGTCTGGATGAAAGCTGGAGGCATGCAGGTAAGTATAGCGGTCAGTAGGTTTCTGGTATAGGGTGGTGTTTATGTGACCATCGCTTATTAGCACTGTAGTGTCCAGGAAGTGGATCTCTTGTGTGGACTGGTCCAGGCTGAGGTTGATGGTGGGATGGAAATTGTTGAAATCATGGTGGAATTCCTCAAGGGCTTCTTTTCCATGGGTCCAGATGAGGACGATGTCATCACTGTAGCACAAGTAGAGTAGGGGCGTTAGGGGACGAGAGCTGAGGAAGCGTTGTTCTAAGTCAGCCATAAAAATGTTGGCATACTGTGGGGCCATGCGGATACCCATAGCAGTGCCACTGATTTGAAGGTATACATTGTCCCCAAATGTGAAATAGTTATGGGTGAGGACAAAGTCACAAAGTTCAGCCACCAGGTTTGCCGTGACGTTATCGGGGATACTGTTCCTGATGGCTTGTAGTCCATCTTTGTGTGGAATGTTGGTGTAGAGGGCTTCTACATCCATAGTGGCCAGGATGGTGTTTTCAGAAAGATCACCGATGTTTTCTCAGTTTTCTCAGGAAGTCAGTGGTGTCTCGAAGATAGCTGGGAGTGCTGGTAGCGTAGGGCCTGAGGAGAGAGTCTACATAGCCAGACAATCCTGCTGTTAGGGTGCCAATGCTTGAGATGACGGGGCGTCCAGGATTTCCAGGTTTATGGATCTTGGGTAGCAGATAGAATACCCCTGGTCGGGGTTCCAGGGGTGTGTCTGTGCGGATTTGTTCTTGTGCTTTTTCAGGGAGTTTCTTGAGCAAATGCTGTAGTTTCTTTTGGTAACCCTCAGTGGGATCAGAGGGTAATGGCTTGTAGAAAGTGGTGTTGGAGAGCTGCCTAGCAGCCTCTTGTTCATATTCCGACCTATTCATGATGACGACAGCACCTCCTTTGTCAGCCTTTTTGATTTTGATGTCAGAGCTGTTTCTGAGGCTGTGGATGGCATTGTGTTCTGCATGGCTGAGGTTATGGGGCAAGTGATCCTGCTTTTCCACAATTTCAGCCCATGCACGTCGGCGAAAGCACTCTATGTAGAAGTCCAGTCTGTTGTTTTGACATTCAGGAGGAGTCCACCCAGAATCCTTCTTTTTGTAGTCTTGGTAGGAAGGTCTCTGTGAGTTAGTATGTTGTTCAGAGGTGTGTTGGAAATATTCCTTGAGTCGGAGACATCAAAAATAGGATTCTAGGTTACCACAGAACTGTATCATGTTTGTGGGGGTGGAGGGGCAGAAGGAGAGGCGCCGAGATAGGACAGCTGCTTCTGCTGGGCTGAGAGTATAGTTGGATAGATTAACAATATTGCTGGGTGGGTTAAGGGAACCACTGTTGTGACTCCTTGTGTCATGTAGTAGTTTAGAGAGTTTAATGTCCTTTTATTGAGTAATGACAATGAGTTTCCTGTCCAGTTTTGATGGTAACTTCCTTGGGACCGGGACCTCGTCTTACATGCCTGTAAAGCACCACGAGCTTAAAACTTGTAATGAATAGAAAATGAGGAAATCTTTGCAGGAGAAACAGAGTCCTGGAAGAAGAGGCTTCCGAAGAGGGATCTGAAAAGGCTTGGGAGAGAATGCCAGAAAGACAGAGATTGCAAAGAGTGGGACAAGGAGCTAACGGAAGCAGTGAGGAGAAAGGATGGGGAGACAGATATGGAGCAGGAGGGAGAGAGGAGGAAACAAGAACTGAGGTGTAGGTGGGGGCAATATTACATACAGCCTTGAAGGTGAGAATGGAGAGCATAGGTGTGATGCAAAAGGAGACAGGAAGCCAGCGACGGGATTCAAGGGTGGAGGCAAGTGAAGAGAGAGTTCACAGTCCTGAGTCAGAGTCCTGGTGGCACAGCCTCTTGGGGGTCGGGGGACCAGCACAGGAATGGGGAGGCAGGCTGAGCCTTTTCTAGTTGCAAATAAGCAGCAACTGCAAGGCCCTGACTGGAATTCATCAGGGCATCACAGATGCGGCGCCCCACACCCCGGCCATGGCCCCTGGCAGTGTCAGATAGCAAGTATATAGGTGCCGATTCAGTGGGTGCTCCAAGGCTGAAGCATCCAGGTGGAAAAAATGGCGGGTGCTCGGCAGCCCCCCATCAGCACCTCCCCTGCCCCACCCAGCACCTCCTGCAGGGGTGGGAAGAGGTGGGGAGGGGCAGGGCGGGGGTGGGGCCTTGAGGGAAGGGCTGGAGTGGGGGTG